AATACGATATTCATGGATTCTCAATACGATGTTCCTAAATTCTCAACATAATATCCATGGATACACAATACGATGTTGATGAATTCTCAATTGAATGTCCATGTGTGTCAAGTTAATTAAGGGCAAAATTCTACTTTTGCTTTCCAGAAAAATTGCAATAAAGCAATGCATTATTAGAATTTTTTAGGCTTATAATGCGATTCTCCCAAAAGTCTTTGCTTGTGAAATGAATAAATACCCACTAAGGCACCAAGCCAAGCCTTTCTACTTGTTTATCCAAGTCTTCGCTTGCTAATTAAGTCTTGGGAGAATCGCACTGCAAGCCTAAGGGCTCTTGTAATTTTTAGGAGCAAAAATATAATTTTGCCCTTAATCAAAATGAAAGAAATGAATTGAAAATGGTGGAATGATCAACTTGACATGCATAAACATTCAGTTGAGAATGCATGAATATTGTGTTTGTACATCTATGGACATTATATTGTACATTATCTACATAACTTGTATATTTTATTAAACCTACTGATCAACTGGACACACATGGACATTGTGTTGAAATTTTATGCACATCATGTTGTGTACCTATGGACATTATGTTGTACATGCTCTATGTAACTTTATTTTAATTAACCTACAGATCAACTGGACATGCATAGATATTGTGTTGAAAATTCATAAACATCATATTGTGTATCCATGGACATTGTATTGTACATTGTTTACGTAACTTGTACATTTTATTAAACCTACTTATTAACTTGACACGTATGGATATTTAGTTGAGAATGCATAAACATCGTACTGTACATTCATAGATATTGTCTTGTACATTGTCAATGTAACTTGTACATTTTATTAAATCTATTGATCAATTAGACACGCATGAATATTATGTTGAAAATTTATCAACATTGTGTTGAGAATGTATGAATATTGTGTTGTACATCCATAGACATTGGGTTGTACATTCTTTGTGTGATTGTATATTTTAATTAACCTACAAATCAACTAAGTATGCATGGACACTGTGTTAAGAATTTATGAATATCATGTTAAGAATTTATGAACATCATGTTGTGCTTTTGGATGAGGTTTTGCATAGGTTCTGAATTTTTAAATCACATGAAGGAAAAATTGTACTTTCGTTCCTAAAATAACTGCAATAAAGGCCTTTAGGCCTACAATGCATTATCATAATTTATTAGGTCTAAAGTGTAATTTTCTTTTTTAATGCCTACAATGCAATTCTCCTTATTTTCCTTATGTGTGCTCCTAATCTCATAGGTGATGAAAATATTATTTATTGGAGGCCTTCCAATAATAGCAACTTCATTAAATCTGCCTACAAAGCTATGCAATTATGTAACTAGACTAATTCATAAATTTGGTTAAGAATTTAGAAATGGCCAACGTATGAGAAAATTAGATGTTTTATTTGAAAAGCTGCTTGGAACTGCCTTCAAATCAATTATACAATTAAAAATGGGAATAACTCTTGTCCAATGATTTGCCTTTACAGTTGCAACTCCCCATATTCCTCAATTCACATCTTGCGTGACTATAAGGAATTTCGCTCGAGAAGTTTGGATGAAACTAATTAAGCATTCTAAATTTAATATCTTCTTTCTCTTTTTGTGTAGGAGTGTAAAACTTAGAATACAAAAAATGATGTCAAATGTTCTCAAGAGGGACTCCTTAGCAAAAACTTTTCACCTTGTTATATTGGAACATCTAGAAGGCAAGATGCAAGAACATTTTTTTAGAAAAGGATACACCTGACAAAGATATTGCATTCATCAACAAACAACAACTAATCAATGATACCAACTTATAGTCTAAGATTAACGGCTTATCAAAGGAGGTTGCAAGATATGAAGTAAAACAGAACCATCCTAAAATAGGTCGAGCTAGACTCAACATTGATGAATTAGTTAACATCAATAAGGCTATGACTTGTGGAGGCTTTATTCGTGTTGCTTATAGAAATTGGATTAAAGAATTTTTTAAATATCTCGATTATTACCCTAGCATGCCTGCTAAACTGCTCAACATTTTGTAAGGAATCAAACTTTGTTAATATATTAAGCTAACCAAAGTTAACATTTATTCAGACTTCTTTGAAGCTTTATCCTTGATTCAACATAACTTCTCCCAACATCCTTATTCCAATTATATCGAGAAGTATAGAGATTTTACTACGAAAAATTGAAAAAGTACTTTCTATTATGTGTTTGGAAAGCAAACAGTTGTATCGATCTACTTGCTTACCAAGCATCTAATGATGATCTTGACTTAACAATTTTGATGAGCCACCTTTTAGGTGCAGAAATATCATATATTTTGTTATGATTGGATAGTTTTTTCTATTTTATTTTTATTTTTATTTTTTTGTTCTCAATCTTTTTCTGATTTTCATATACTCGTTTCTTCAAAATTTTCTCAAATAAAATTGACTAAAAAAGTAAAACAGGTATAAACATATTTTAATATATATTTTGATATTAATACAAAATATATATGATTAGTGAAGAATTCAAAATATATAATAATATGAAATAATAAAATAAGTATTATTTTGAAATTTTTATACCATATGAAAATATCTTAAACATTTATTAACAATAAAGTATAAATTTTGGTTAAAAAAATTGATATTTTATAAATATACAACTGAATAATTATAGAAAAAAAAAATAAATAGAAATTGTATATTTTACATTAATATTTATAATTAAGTTGTATTTAATCAATCTTATATTGAATTCAAATTTAAAATTAACTTATATAAAATCAAATAAAATTAAATTATATTTAAGATAAAAAAAAAGCCATGACAAAACCCGTTATTATAATTTATATTATTACTTATTACAAATTAAAAATATCACTTGTAACATTTACAAACATCACTTAGATGATAATTTTTTTTTTGATACAAAGATGATAAAATTTTTAAATCTTAACTATTATTTAACTCCACATTCCATTTAAATATAATGGATAAAAAAACTACAAAAGCCCCAAGAAGGGTAATTTAAATGGGTTGTCCATCATAATAAAAGTTGAATATCATTATCCACCTTAAATTGTGTAAGGTGCATAACTGCATAATGATTGGTCAATCAAAGAAATAGCTATTATAGTTTCTTTTTCCATTCAAACTTAAAAAAAAAAAAGTTCAACATCAATGCTTTCATGCATTTGAATTTTCTAGAGAAATCAAAGCAGAAAATGTTTTGGTGGTTTTAGAGGTTGAAAAATGTAATTAGAACCAAATGGTTTGACTTATTTAAAAAGAATGAACTAGTTTCAATAAATAGCATAATCTAAGAGAATGACAACTAAGCATTTCATAAGATTAATACTAAATCATGATTTTTGCAAGATAATGCTCTTCCAAGCAACCTTATAGTCCGATGCAAATGCATTTCAGTGTCATTCTCATTTCTAAGCCCATGGTGAAATTAATGTTCTTGGTGATGCACTTTCTTGCTGTTCAAGATCATAAGTGCCTACAAAAATTCCTTGTGATGAAAGTTTGTTTTGGTTTCACTTGCAACTTCTTCACAAAGGTGTTGATCGAAGCTTGATATTTGTTCGTGTTCTCACTTTTGTAGCTTTTGCTTTGTTGTTGTTTTTTCTTGTCTTTCTTCTTCTATTGTGACCCAAGGTGTATTTTGGTTCTTATGTACTAATTGTTTTATTTTAATATAAAATTTGACTTATATTAAAAAATCATAAATTTTTAAGAAAATTAAAATTTTTAGTGCTAAAATGAAGAAGGATGAATATTGAATTTAAAAATTTAAGTTATGAAATTTAACTCTCTTTTTTTTATGAAATTCTTAGTTGTCACTCTCCCAAGCAAAATAAAAGAATCCAAAATATGAGTAAATTTAGAAAGTAATTTAGATACCTCTGTATAAATTTTATTATTAATTTACTCTCATTTCTATAGGTTTTTTTTTTAACTCATGTCTATCAGGTTTTAATAGACTTAAATTTAGATTGAACAATCCTAAGAAAATATGACCGGTTACTTTTCACCAAATTTTTTATTTGAGGGAGTTAATATCAACCTCAAAATACTTAGTATGAGTTATAATTAGCCTTCCCTTTAGAAAATTTCCAACCAAATAAGTAAAATTAGTTTTCAAACTGTCATCAACATGGAGCCTTCAGGCCAAAAAAATAAACATGGAGTTCATGCAACTAGTCCTCTAATCCTATTTATAAATTACTTCCTACATATTTAGTTTAAATTAAAGAAAATATTAAAACTTATTAACTCTAAAAATTTATTTTTTTTAAATTTTATCCTATTAAATATACATTTTTTGATAACATATTTTTCTTTCTAATATTTAATGGAAGGTAAAAAAAATATTGATAAAATTTTACTAACGTGAATTATAAATGTAATTCAAAAAAATTCTTTTTTTTACCTATAAGAGGGGGTAAATAAGATAGATATTTATGCATTAATTACGGAATCCAATATGTGTATATACAATGGGAACATGATAAAATTGACTTAGGCTAAACTACATTAAACTTTCCCTTAAGTCAAGTCAAATATGTGAAACAGCCCTCATCTTCAAAAATTTAAAAATTGCACCCTTAATTTTTAGATCTTGACCATTAATCTCTTGCTACTAAAATCATCATTAAATTTAACTAATTGCATGCCTCATTAGACTATTTAAAATTAAAATTATCCGAAGATGACAAGTAATTTGTTATATTTTATTAATTTATTCCAACTTAATTTACTCACGGACAACTGAGTGATGTGACATGCATTTGATTACAGTTAATGATCATTGTAACGGCAGAGATTAATGGTCAAAATCTGAAAGTTATTGAGGGTGATTCCTAAACTTTCAAAGAGGTTATATGCGTCTAACCTAAAATTGAGGTGAGTTTCGTGTACTTTGGCCATGATTTTAAGAAAGACTTTTTATCATCTAATTTTCATTAAAAAATATGACAATAAACAATCAATCATGAAAATCATCAAAGTTCATAACATAAAATTGCAGAGCCTCCAATGCAATGTATCTATTTTAAGTTCATGTGACCTTGAACTCAACTTCAATATCCAACCAAAAAAGCAGTGTAGGAACATGACATGTCACACCCATTCACGAATTTAGCCAATCGAAAACATTGGGTGAAGTTGGCAGTCTTGCTGTCAGAACCTCAACACCTGTCTGCGTTACCTAAACCAGGGAAAAAAAAAAGGGTAAATCAACCTTTACGCCCCGACCTTCTTTTATTTTTCAAAAGAATCCTTCTAGAATTTTTTTTTTCCAAATATGTTCCTCCTAATTACAACTCAGTTTAAAATAAATACCACACTAGTTCCCATTACAGGGTTGCCTTTTAAAAATATTTTTTTCTTAATATAAAGCACTTGATTGGGAATTAATTGTTTTTTCTGAAATTAACCCTATTTAAACTCATCAAATTTAAAAATGTAAAGCAAATTTAAAAATTTTCATTTAAATAGCGGTAAGATTGGAAGTTTACTCTATTTTGAAACAAAATTAATAACTTAATCACCTCTCCTTAGTTTTCATGTAGTAGTTAGAAATATCTTATAATAAAAATGAAAAGAATATATAAAATAAAACATTATGATCCTCACTGATCATGTTAGAACTCAGAAAACACATGCATGAAATTTGTAAGTTTATGAATCTGCGCTTACCAGAAGTGTGTGTTCAAATTGAGCACTGCGTTTGCCATCTGCAGTAACAGCAGTCCATCCATCAGGCCACATTCTATCGCGCCAAACACCTGTTCAGAAAATTCTGTCAAGAGTTTGAAGAAAAGGGTACACTTTGGGGAAAATTAATCCTCTTTTTTTTTTTTTTTTTGCCAGAGGCGTAAATTAATCATTAAATTAGCGAGCAAAAGGTACCTGCATTAATCATTGGTTCGATTGTGAAGGTCTGTCCAGCCTTCATCACACCAACTGCTTTATTTCCTGAAAAAACTGTTAAGGTTGACCTTTGACAGAATATTGCGGGGGAAGTTTAAGAAAATAGATTAAAAGCATTCCATAATGCCATTGTCAAGTGGCAGCATTATCCAAATTAAGCAAGAGACTCTGAAACAAATATCAAAGAAAGCCACGAAAAAGAATGTTATGAGGCCTAAAATCCGAAGTATTGTGTTCAACAGAGACCAAAAAAGGATGTCTGATAAACAAAGAAAATAGCGAACAGATAAGTTTAAAGAGGCTGATAAGTGACAAGCAAGATTTCCGAGTTTTGGCTTAGCTGGCATAAATTAATTGAGACAAAAAAAGCTGTCCCTTTGAAAATATTTTTCTCTGCCTATCAACTAGTCTCTTTTGATTCAAATAATTCCTGCACAGCTAAGTAAAATATCAGAAGATTCAGAATGCATTTTTTCAATACATGTTTTCCACATTCCTGCATGCGATAAGGATACTTCCATAATGGGGAATATTTGGTGCACAATGGAAGAGCTCTCCAATTCCATGGCCACAATATGATTTTACCTTTAAAGAGGGAAAGGGAAGAGTGACAAAACATTAATAGCTTCCAGCCAATCAAGCAAAGATAATCAAACACATTAGGTTTTAACAAAACTATGTGCATTACCACAGAGAAACCAGACATTGAGGCGTGACGATTAATAACTTCACCAATCTCACGAAATCTCACTCCAGGTTTCACTGAAGTTTTTGAGAAAAGAAGAATTAGAAACAGGTAATTGAATTTTTTACACATCAACCAATGCTTACAAGACTAAGCATGCAGAAATTTTCTCCCAACTCCTAACCAATTAAAAACATGGTGAACTTTGACATAACTTCAAATGACAATTTACATAATTATGGTTATCACTACTTTTTCCAAACGATGCTTGCACAGTAAAGTTATCAGACAAGTTTTAAACATTGGTAAGTGGATGGAGCATCCTAAAAATTTTCTATATAAAATACAAATTAAATCATGACTTTACTGGCAGCTGCAAATGTAAGGCTTATAGCTTTACTCCAAAAGCAGTACGCATAAGAGCAATCAGACAGTTTAAAAATTAAAATGCAAAACACAACTAAGTTAGCAATATATTAGAATATTTTAAAACATTCAAAGACTAAAGAAAACACTAATCACACCTAAATTATAATTGCACGTCAATTTAGAAGAGAAGAGGTAAAGGTTCGTTAACAAAAGTAATATGTTCCCAAATCAGTTAGATATTAATGTCTCTATCAACGAGAACCAAGTCTTTACTTTCAACAGTATTGCTTCATAAGACATCATAGAAAAAGTAGAGGATGGGGAAAATCCAAGCCTACTAAAATCTAGAACTTATAATATCTAGAGTCAAATCAGAGAGTTGAGAGTTGAAATTCAATGGACAAATACCAATTGATATTGCTTTATCCAGGCACTCATATGTGCACTGGACCAGCCGGCGAGATTCTTCATCAACATTTCCAACGAAGTATGTTTCATTAAGATCAGCTGCATAACAACTCTAAGATTAACCAATCATGGAATCTTTTGTTTAAAAGTTGAAAGTGTGTCACAAAACAAATGGACATTAGTCAACTCACCATGAACTCCCTTATAGTACACAGTGACATCAACATTTACAATATCACCATCCTCAAGCTTCCTGTAGAGTAAGCATATATTAGGTGAAAGTTCTCAAGTTAATATATTTATTTACCGGAAGCAGCTATTAAGCTACCATTATTAAATACGTAATGATCTAGAAAAGGACCAAGCCAAAAGACATAGTAAACTCGGGCAATTAGTTTTGCAGAACCTTCTATGTCAAGAAAATACATGCGTGTGCACCCACACGCATCAACTCATCTAAAAGAAACAATACCTTGGTATTGAAGCCATTTGAATGCAAAACCACCAAGGATCATATGGACTTTTTGGGGTGAAAAGTATAACATTAAAAAATATATTTCTTAAAATTTTTGTCACATTTAGAACCATGTTTATGGAATTAATTCTATACTTAATGAATGCATATTTATACATGAGTTGTTAACTATTGCCAATTAATTGGTGAAGTTTCTCGAAAAAATTCATTGGAATATGTTCTAATCATGGGTTTAGTTGTAAGGTATCTTTTTAAGGAGAGGGCAAAGTAATGTTTCACAGTTGAGGAGAAGACTGTTAATTGGGCGGAGGAAATAATAGAAAAAGTGACCCCCAAAACGGAATTTCTTCAGCAAAAGCATAGGACACCCTACCTAGCATCAGGAATTCCATGGCAGATTACTTCATTGACTGACCTGTTAAAAAGAGTGGTACATAACGTTAACAAACATGAAGAAGATGAAGAAAATGAAACAAATACAGAAGGCAAGTACCTACGTGCAGCAAGACTTTGGGAAGAAATGGTAATTCAGAGGAGATGGATAACCTCCTACAATGATAAAAAATACATACAATTACTAACACGACCAGTTATTGATCAGAAAAAAGCCCCAGTAGAGTTAAAAAATGGCATTATATGAGATGAAGATATATAAAGTAAAACAAAGGAATGCATGTTTCACTATGATATGATAAAATCTGTAGTTATATGCTCCCAGTAGAGTTACAGGATTCCAAAGATATTCCAACCGAAATATAATGCGCTCACTAAAATCAATACCTGCAGCTATAGTTGCCTCATGGACGACCCTATCAATTTCATCAGTGGTCACACCTGGATGGATTGCCCGAGCAGCTGCATCTAAAACCTCCCTTGCAATCTGGAAATCAGCATGGTTCCTTAAGTCAAAAACATATAATTAAGAACACAGCGTAATTATATTTAAAATTTCCCATCATATTTTAGGAACCTGCCAACAAAAGTTCTGCTCTATTAGTTAATATAGCCACTTTAACGGTCTAAAAAAGTAAACAGAGAAAGACTTTTATCACCAGGTGATACAGGAAAAACCAGTTAAGCATTTTTTGTTGAAAAACTTACCTTGGGCACCATTTTTAAGCATTTTTTGTTTCTTGATCTAGCTTCTGTAATCAGCCAGTCCACTTTCTTAAGCTCAATAAAGTAAAACCATACATTGAATATAAATAAACCAGAAGGTTCTTATCAGCAGCAATTTAGCAGTTATCGGCATGAACTAGGATCATATAGATTGTTCAAGCGTATCACAGGATAACAGGTCAAGAATCATTCATCAACAAGTGAAATTGATTCAGATGACCAGGCCATGCGCCTTGAAGTTATTAAATAACAAAGACACCAATCAAGGAGAAAATTTAGCAGTTAGCACCACATCCAAATGAGTAACATGATTCTGTACTGTAATCAAAGCTGAAAATGAATTTTAGCGTTGGATAAAATAAGTTAGATTTAAAAGAAAACATAGAAAGAGAAAGAACTGCGCCATAAGATAAGAATCTATACAGGGAAACAGGGGGGATATAGTCACATACTCGGCATGATTCTCTCATTCTCTGAATTTGATTTGGAGTTTTAATCTGCAAATAAACAATCAATAACAAATTTATAATGGCAAACTAAAAAAAATACCAACAGCGTACTCTAACCTAGTATTGCCAGCAAATGCATCTTAAAAACACTCACCTCAACAATATGCTGCAGATCACTATTAGGCTCAACTTTGGGTATTCCCTGCAAGCAGGTAATAAACAACATTTTACAAACTACTGAACCTAAGCTAAGTCATCAGAAGATGACCTCCAATTATTAGGTTATATGTAGATATGAGGAAGAAGAATTACCAATAACTTACATCATCAGCCCAATCAGGTTTATCAATATGAGCCGGTACAATTTGTTTAGGAGACATGGGATATGGCCTCAGCGTCCTTATAAAAGCAACAATGAGACTTAGTTTCCACTTCCCAATTATCAACAAATGAAATTTTTTAACAAAAATTATATGTATAAGGAGCAAATAAAAGAATTGATAATTCTTGTTGCGAACATATGGGATGCTCAAACTAATCAAATGCACAGATCTAAAGGAAACATGAGAAAGGCAAAAACAGGAGAACCTGAAGTTCAGAAACAGTATTATATTGTTACCAATTTTGAACATAATATTCTGTGATGGTTAAACATGATGTGAGATTTATAAAATGCAAAAACAAAGTCCGAGTGAATTACCCAGTCCAATCAAAGTGAGGCATCTTGGGAGTTCGAGCCTGCCCTTTCTTCAAGCAATATAACCACCCTTCACCAAGTGAGTCTGAATTTTGTTGCTGCAGATTGCCTGTCCCAGAAGAAGTTAGCTTTGCCTTCATGTGTACTGATTTGTGTGAACTCCATGAAGCTTTGAAACAATCCTGCGTGCTGTCAAGAGATTTTAAAATTGGCCCCAAAATAAAGGATATTACATTGAGAAGTAAAAGTAAAATTACAAAACGTTTGCAATATAAACTCTCACAAGCATGTAGAAAGTAGCTATTGTTGGCCATCCTCAACTTTTAAAGTTTGCCCAGCAAACCCAGCCTCTAATTACTAACACAATCTTCTGTAATTAAATGACTTAAGAAATATTATTAGCCACATCAACACTGAAGCGCAAAAAATATCCAAGTTCATCTGTTCAAATTGAGGAAACCACAATACGTGAAAACCTCTAAAGTCTACATTAATAGATTAAAGAGACTAACAATATTCCGTAACAACCACTGGGACAATCAACTTTTTTTTTTTAATTTTTTTATACTCAGGACTTATGGAGATGTATCGGCTAATCGGAAAGACAAAGAACTTTCCCGCAACTTTTATAAAAAATTTCTGCAAGAGAACTGTCAGTATAAAAGCTATTTTTAGAGGTTGCTTCACTCTATATCATCCACTCAACTTCCATGGCAAATAAAGGACTTGCAAAAGCTGATAAAGCAGTGAACAATTACAACCAGAAAGCAGCACCTTCGCGAGGCAGCTTTAATTCCATGCATTTTGGACACCTGAATAGAGTGAAAGAGAAGATTGATTAAACATGATTATTTAAACATCTGCAGTTCAAGAAAAATTTATTTCAGGCTTTTTCCAGGTAGAAACCAAGAAAATCTGAAAATGAAATAAGTACGCCCAGAAATAAGCTACTAGCTCATAGACCTTCAAATGAAATTGATCCAGTTTCCAAAATAGGTCGACTATATATATATATATAATTACTATAGAGATTGCATGAAAATTTAAAAAGCAATCTAAAAGTTTCATCTTTCACTATCCAAGGCTGCTAGGAATTGACTTGAAGATGGCTGCACTTGCTTTCTACTCAGAATTACGAATTGGGGGCAAGAAGTCCATGAACAATCCAATCCTAGGTTCCCAAAAAACCCATGCCGTCAAATACAACACTAAAATCATTCTGCTGGGAATCGCGTCCCAAAACTTGTTTATCGCATCCAAAAACTTGTTTTTAAGATATAATCCATTATCTAATAAGCAGAACTCTTCTCACAATCCCATATAAAAACAAGAAGAAGATGCAAAAGGAAGAAAATGGATGGCCAGAGAACTAAAAAGCTGAGCAGCTGCCCAAAAAGATCACGTAATGAAGATGAGCGGCTTGCCACAGTTAGCACATGAGAGGGTGGTCTCAGCAACATCAGCCATGATGTCCCGGGATTTATTCACAGCGAATTCAACCAGGAAGGCTAGGGCTGCAGAGGGGTACAGAGGTAGCCGAAAACCCAGAGAGAAGCAAAACTTGGACGAATTGATTCCTCTTAAAAAATGCATTAGAATTCGGTTGAGTCAGAGACATGAGACGTGGGAATCAACCCAAAGAAAAGGACAGCAGTATTTATTAATGA